TATAAAACAGCAGATACACACTTAATGAACACGTTCGCATGCTTTTTTGTGAATTTCGCCTTCTTCTGTTTAGTCATTAACGAACAGATCTGACCTAACTTTGTAGGCGCTGAAAATAGTACATCAACACCGTACCTATTAGCGACCTTTTTTACATTGTGGGAAACACTATGTAAGTACGGCATAACATAAATAGGCCTCCTCTCCCTTCCTTCGACGCTTGGACCCCTGCTCTTGTATTTTTTAAGAAGGCTTTCGCAAGCACTAGCTAAAAACTGTGCCGGGCATCCAGACGCGCCCAGACGAGCTACCTGATTCTCGAAGCTCTCAAACGTCAGATGAGGGCAAGACTTGTCGAGGGCTGCCGCACAAGCTGACAACAGAATGCCCCTCTTAATCAACTTCAAGTGTGCGCTATCAAAAGGCAACAAGCCTTTCTTCGATCGCGGATTGTATTTGAAGCAGATGGGCTCCTTGGCAAACCTCAGCCGTAGGTTCAGAAACTGTATCTCATTTTCGACTGGCATTTCGTGCCTGAACTTCAGGCCACTGGAGTGTCTGTTGAAAACCTCAAGGACACCTTTCAGAACACCCTGCACACATTCACATGGGACCTTCCCAAGCACGATAAGGTAGTCGTCCACATACCTGAAGGTGTGAACGACATCCAAATGGGACAGCTCATCTCTCAGGCATTGGTCGAAGGCTGCCAAGAATATGTCACTGAGGACAGGCGCGACTGCAGAACCGATACAAATTCCAGCTTTTTGGACGTAGGTACCCTCCTGGTGGCTGATTGCAGTGGACTCAAAAGTAGAATTTCAAAAGTTCCAAAAAGTTATTCATGAAGATACCGTGCTTGTTTTGGAAATCAACTTCACCGAATTCATCGATTGCACTCCTGACAGCATCAAAAAGCGTGCCATGTGGAGTTGAGTAAAAAAAAGTTCTTCCACATCAATTGAAAAAGCCGTGGACGCCATTGGTAAGCCTTCCTTCAAAGTAGAAACGATTTCCGAAAGACTTCGCACTAAGAAAGGGTCACCACTGTTAAAAGAACCAAATATGCTTTGTAGGCACCGTGCCACTACCCTTTACCAGCTGCCCTTCTCGGACACAATAAGGCGTAGCGGGTAGTCACACTTGTGCGTCTTGCAAGTGAAAAATACTGTAGCGTCACATTGCTTGCTTTTACGACTTCTCTGCAGAGCGCATCAAGGTTCATTTATTTCAACAGTTTTTGTACCATGGTCTTCCGTTTCTTTCGGCTGTTGCACCCCTGCTTAGCAGAATATTGCACACCACATTGCTGAAGCACACGATGTATTGCTTGGGGTGTTTCTTGGAGCATGCAGCCAGCTGTTTGCTCACCATGAAAAGGTTTGCATGGAGAGGAAAGCACTCTAGTTGTAGTTTTACTGCGTGCGTAATGTAAAGGTGCTGTTTCAAATACATTGTAGTGCATTTTCCACAGGGTGTATACCAACCTGGAAAACCTGGAAATGTCGGGAAATTCCTGAAAAATCCGGCCTGGTCATAGAAACTGACGACAGTCTGTGCAATTGTCACAAAAATAGGCGTTACCATTGATCAAAGCTTAAAAAGCCACTCCTTCGGCTGCAACTGCAATGAATAGCCAGAAGAAGCGTGAAAAAAAAAAAAAACAGTGCATAATTGTTGCTTCTTAGTGTAGACACGAAAAGATACACCTACCAAAGGAATACAATGTTTACCGATGTTTCGGCACCCGCTACAGGAGCCTTGTTCACAATAATAGCCTCATGATGTAAAAAACCAACGCAAAAGACTACATACGAAAGAAGGAGGACACAGGAAAAGCGCTGATTGTCCTGTGTCCTCCTTCCTTTTTGTGTCGTTTTTTGCGCTGGTTTTTACATCATGCAGCATAACCAACTCGTCCAGTTTCGTACGCTGCTGCATTACGTAATTAGAAAGGCACAGGGTATTTAAGTACACCTAAGTACGTGACGTAAGCACCGGGATAACATTATTCGAAGCGCCCCACCACTCTTGTTGAGCACAAGTGCAGTTGTCTGTATGCGCTGGCATTCCAGGTGCAGGCAGATGCAAGCTTCTCTTTGGCCAGAACACGCGTGCTTGACCAGCCCGTTTGGTGGCCTGTAGATTCCATGTGTTTAGTGAGGGCATAAGAGGTCACACATCCTATTCGTGTTGCTTAATTCTTTTCTTGAAATCAGTGCTCGCACCAATGTGCTGGTTGTCACAATTGTGGCAGCCTGAAGCGCAAAAAGAACCGCGGAAGTTTTAGCTCGGCAACTTAGTCTTTACGTTTTCTAAAGTGTTATTTTGCTATTCATTTAACATTCACTATTTCAATGTCTGTTGCTCGCTTTGCCGCAATGGTCTAGTGGCCTATGCACTCGGCTGCTGACCCGAAGGTCGTGGGGTCGAATGCTGGCTGTAGCAGCTGCATCATCGATGGAGGCGAAATTGCTGCAGGCGTTTGGGCTCAAATTTGGCTGCACGTTAAAGAACTCCAGGTGGTCAAAATTTCCGGAGCCCTCCACTACGGTGTCTCTCATAATCGTGTGGTGGTTTTGGAATGTAAAACCTTACATATCAATCAATCAATCAATCAATCAATCAATCAATCAATCAATCAATGCCTGTTGCTTCTACTTATCGCACAGCATATCTGACTTTCCAACCACAACATTACACATGTCGGTAAATTTGGGCATGTTTGTCTTGACCATGATTGCGGCTCGACTTGGTAGGCCTTCTGGTTCGGATAGAACTGCCATTTGCAGACACTTGCCGGGCTATGTGATGCCTTTTATTATTATTATTAATATCATGATTATTATTCGCGATGCAAGAGCAAATGTCCTCAGCTACGTACTTATTGCTGGTAGCTTGGGTTTCAAGGGTAGAGTTGGGTAACTTCATCTAAATTTCTCATTTCAGTTTGTTGAGATGGTTTTCTTAAATCTGTGATTAGTCTTTAGCGTTATGTCCATAGAGGAGTACACAAATGAAGGTAGCCCACCTGCATCTGTGATAAATCTGTGGAATGAAGGGAACTGTTGCGACCTGACAGATTCCTTATTGCCAGCACATATTTGAACGTCATCACATTAAACTCTACCCTTAGCTTTCATTGCACACATCTGAGGACTTTGTCAAACGGCAAGCGTCAGAGCCCAGAGAAAAAATACATCAACATGCATGTGCTCGTCGTAGAAAGAAAGAACGAAAGAAAGAGGAAAAAAAGTATGTGATGCGGCTCCATTATTGTGACGTTGTTAGTCATTGTCAATGCATGATGCACAGAATACACGAGTAGTATATAGTTATTATTTTTTCACTGAATAGTATATTTTAGAGGTGCACAATTTAAATGGGGATGCAAGTCATTAGTAAATATAGCAATCCAGGTTTCATCAGATTCAATCCAATCAACATCCTAAATAGTAATGCCAGTAAATAGAGGTCAGTCTAATCCAATCCACATCCAGTGGCCTGGGCTGTAAGCACTATAGTGAACGAGGATATACTCTAGTGGTGGAGCCGGCCGGGCTCAAGTGTCCTCCTTTTACACAGATGCCGCAAGATGGTGCCACTTCTACATTTTCTAGCAGCTTTGGCTGCGTTGTTGGACTATTGGGGGCTTCTTCAAATTTTCAACTGCGGTTAATTCTAAATTGTGTGTTTGCATTCTGCCAAACAGCCAGCTTGCTTACTCTCTGGCTCAGAAGTGTCATTTTGGCCACATATACATATTTTTTCATATGTACTTATTCTGTAGGATTGGCTTATTTTATTTACCACTCATGGGTCTAGTGCACGGAATTTCCCAAGCAGACCAAACGAAGTTTACTTTAAATGATCATGGAAAACCTGGAAAAGTCAGGGAATTTCGAAAAAGCAATCTCACCCGGGATTAGTCTTCTACTCTGTCATTATGATGAAAAGGTATTCACATGGCAGTAGAAGATGGTGATGTTCTAGTGACTGTGAAGATAGTGATTCACATGGCAGTAGGAGATAGGGATGACAACAAGGCTATGTGGCATAGTGTTGTTTTCACTGCTTTTAGGTTCTTCGTTATAATACCATGGCAATGTTCAGGGAAAACTGGCTGTCAAGAGGTTTTTATATGAAAATCCTTCCAACACTCCCAAAAGACTTGAATAAAATATTTTTGATTAGGTTTGTAGATCTAGGAAATCATTTTATAAAGGGAACAATTTGGTCGAAAATATCTTGTCAATAGTCCTTTAACCATTTTGTCAACGGCCAGGTGTGAGTAGTATGTGTATGAATGTTTAAAATGTTTAGCCGAGTATACATTCCTCATGTGTTGCAGAATTTATCATACAACAATTTTATAATGTGTTATTTTTTAGTTTATTATTAACTGAAAGGAATTCAATAATTGAAAAAAACAGATGCACTTATTCAACTCCGTAATGGTCGCGAGATCGAATCCAAGTAGCGACGACTGCATTTTCAATGGATGCGAAAATGCTGTAGGCCCGCGTTTTCAGATTTGGGCGTACATTAAAAAACCCCAGGTAATCCAAATTTCCAGAGCCCTCCACTACGGTGTCTCTCGTAATCATGTCATTTTGGGACGATCAACGAACAATCGAAAAACTCCCTAATGAGAAGCAGTGCCAATACACTGTTTCTTATGAAGAAATTGAACAGGTGCACTTGTATTTTTAAGAACAGGAATAGTGTCCTTTTTATGTTCAATTACCACTAGGTTTCTATAATTACATACAGAAGAGCTTTTGCGGGGCTATTTGGAGGTTACTTTAGGAGAGCCCTGGAAAGTTGAGAACACGAAAAATATGAACTACACTGACCAAGCGCTTCGTCTGTGTAGGCCTTGTTTTTCGTGTTCTCAACTTTCCAGTGCTGCCTTTTTCCTTCTATATTTTTCATTCGGTTCTAAATTTCACTTTTTGCACACCCCTAGCTATGAGAAATAATGCTTTCTTGTGAAATAGGTGCTGTTGATTTTTCCTGGGGAGAACGCCAAGCCTTTGGAGAAAATGTGGGAAATGAGTGTCCAAAATGGCTACACGACTGGTCCTTGTGTCGTCTGTGCTCAGAAGCATGTGACCATTCCTTGGAAGACACTATTATTTATTGACAGGTATGCATATTCCATTCTGATGTCAAAAAAAAAAAAAATTAATTCACAGCATTGCTCTTTTAGGCAGTATACTGTCGAATTTTTCTGTTAGCACTGATTTCTTAATGAAAATTCATTACCCAGACTGCTAATTAGTTGCATGATTCTGTAAGCTTGTATATGAAATGGTGGATTACGTTTGAAGAAAAACTATATTCAGTTGTAGGTGCGCTTTTCCAGTTATTTTTTCATCATTTCAAAGTTGTGGTGCATGTGTGAAACTGCTAACTGAGCGTGGGCCTGCACATATGTATCAGTGTTTTCTGTGTTCTTAGAAACCTTTTAAATGAGCGAGCCTAGCTTGAAAAAGGCCCCAGTAGTTGCTCAAAGGAGGGCAGACTTACTTTTTTAGTTGCATTTACAATGTGGCATACAAGGCCTCTTTAAACTGTTGGATATTAAGTAGCTTGTGAAGGGCATTAACGATTGTTTCAGGGGGTGTAACAATGCCGCGAATAGAAATGTCAGTCACAGTTTCAGGAAGTTGATATGATGTGCAAGTATGAAGAAGAAGTATGGTTAAGCATGGAGCACTTTGGGGGCCGGGCTGTTGTCATCGCTTTGTGTGTAGCTTCTTCCTCATTGTTCGTGAGGATCATCATCAGCAAAAAAACTAGTGTGCTTGGCATAAAACGTGCAGGGTGTAAAATGGAGCAAGCGCAAAAATAGAAAGGGCAAGAACGATACCGAGAGAAATAAATAAACAAAGAGAAACAAAGAAAGCTGCCCAGCTGCGCACTTTCTTCATGCAGGCCTGGCACTCCATGTAGGGAGAAGGTGCCTTAATGTTTTTAAATGCGAAGCATATTTTTGAATTACTGCAGGCAAATTTAGCGTGTCTGGCTGCCTACATCTGGGTGCTTTAGTGATAGCTTCTAAACTTGGAGTGAACCAAAATAAGTATGGCGGTATGAAATGGTATGACGAATGTGATTCGCTGGCCATGGCGTGAATGTGACAGTCTCGTCACATACATCGTCAAGCCCTTTCCACCTGACATGTGGGGCACATACTTGAGGGCGGGCATGTGTTACCGGTGATTGACGGTTGATATGTACCGAGAAACGGTGAGCACACACGTGGGTAACTTAAATGCAGCAGCGTTACGAAAAAGCTGACATAAGCAGTGTTGACCCGTCAAACACAAAAAATGAATGTTAGGGTTCCAGCAGGAATCGAAGCTTAGCAATCTGTGGGGCCATCAAGTATTCTACCGCAGCGGTATGCTAAGTCTCAGAACTGCTTTTTAAACAGACCGTAATGTTGTTCATGAAATGTCAATTGTGGTTGCAGTGCTGGCTACCCAGTTTCATAAACATTACATATTTAGCATACACATATCCCGAAGGATTACGGCCGCTAGCTTGGGTCCCATCTTAGTGAGCATGATTATCATTTTTACACCAGTCATATACCTTCGTCAACCATTCACGTCACATAATATTGAACTTGGTACATGCAGGGGTGGAAGTGCTGCACCCAATGCGCCATGCTGTGCCAATCTGACCTGCTGCGCCAAGCCGCGCCCAAAACGACAATTTGCACGTGCAACGCCAAATTTAGTTGAGAGTTTTATAATTGACCGAGGAACACACGTGGGCTATACAGAGGATGCAACCGTGTCCACATGAAATTCGGCATTTCTATAACGAAGTTATATAACTGGTGCAAATATGATTATCATGAGACGCGTGTCATGTAAGAACATGACAACATACCACGCTTCTAGCGTGCTAGCAGCCGTTTCGCTAGCTCCATATATAATAAATTTGGCATCAGGTGACGAGACCAGATGACGAAGGTAAACGACTCAACCAAACATGATAATCATGACACTGAAGTCGTGTACGGCATCATTTACCTCTACCTCGTAACATTGTGCTGATTTGAAGGTGGCATATCAACCTCCCTCATTCGTGCTTCGCATATCATCGATTCCCACTGTACGTGAGATCTGCCAATTTTTACTCATGCTAACGCGATTCCTTGCGCACAAGTATACTTGTGCGCAAGGATACTTGCGCACAAATATCCACAGTGCGAATGCAAAACTGAAATATAGTACGTTAAAATGAATTTCACAATGTTTTTGTCGATAGAATTACGGGAGGCGTAATCTTTGTCCCTACTTCGAACCATATGATCTAAAGCATTGCCTCCGAGATGCGGCGCCTAGCAATTCATTTGTACAGCAGACGACGGATGACAACTTGCCCTAAAGCGTATTCTTCAGTCTAATGCGGCAGTCTTCGTGCCCCAAATGATAAAAATTTGTTATGAATCGTTTATGAGCTCATTCAACATTCAATTCTCTTACCCAACGTGTTGCAAACACATGGCCGTCACAGCAGCTCCATCTGTGTGTCAGTAATGGAGAGGCACCACATATTAGAAGTCTCAGTGCTCCACGTATAAGAGTGACTTCAGATATTGTAGAATATAGTGTTCAAAATAGTTACTCCTATCTGCTAAAACAGCCTTTCTTCATCAAATGCGGTCACGTTTACTCGCGTTTGAAGCTCATTGCCGCTTTTCCGTTCCGATTTCTAGATTTCTCAACTTATCAGCGCATTCTCGAAAAGCTCTGATTTGTACCACGAATATTGCCGCTAAAAACAAAATAATGCAACATGTTATCTATATTACTGTATGATGGCCTTCGGTTGTCCATTTACGAGATTTTAAGAAAAATTGAAGATGGTGTTTTTTCATTATTCAAATTTCAATGGAGTACACTTTTGCCAATATGAGAACTTTGAGGCAATATATAAAAATTTGCGTTTGCCCTACGGCAGCAATTGTTTAAGTGCCTAATGAACACACTATATTATTAAAACGTGTCAAGTTTGTAAACGCTGCTTGCATTACTTTCAGAGAAAAAAAATGCAGAATACGTAACTTATTTTAAACTGTCGCAAAATTCGACATTTTTAAAAGCTATTTTTTCAAGGTCTAGAAACTTGGAACTGTATGAATTCATTCTTCATTAGACATGCATTTCAGGTAAAAAATATCTTCCTCGAAACAAGAATATTTGTCTTTTTATAGCATCTGCAATTTTCAAAAATGACAGATGACGAAATTGGTACCTCCGTGTTGGTGAAGTTTGATATTTTTTTTCTCGTAAGTTATGCCGTTAATCAAAAAACGAAGTTGACTTTCGGGCTACCTAGTGAGAGGTGCACGAAATATAAAATACTCAATGAAATCTAAAATATCAACTTTTGGACCCGTGTCGATCTCTCGTGGAATCACCTATTAATAATTTTAATAAGTTGCTGCGGTGCACGCCACCAAAGTAGCAGCCCAACTACCCAAGTGTTTTAAACAGTGCTTATGTTAAGCCTCTTTGATTGGAATTTGTGGAAACAGCCGAGGAAAGTATTATGCCAGGTAGAGACTTGGCGTGGTGCGTGCGGCGGTAACGCCGGTCACCTTTTTTTTTTTCGTGTATGCTTTGACACATTTTTTACCCTGTATTTTACTTTTGTTGTTGTGTGTTAATGTATAGTGGTGTCCCTGAAAATCATGGAGACCGTTTTATGGAATCAACCGACCATTTTTTTAAACAAACCTGACCGCCCTCCCCCCTAACACAAACTGATCGGCTATACTTCAAATCGCGAATTAACGGATATTGTTTCACATCCATTTTTACAGTTTCTTGCAATGCAATGCCCGAATTGCCGCAATCGCTTTCACGATTTTAACCGCCTGCCTGACACGCTTATTGTGTAAGCAGTGGTTGCGGACAAGTTTGTATGCACAGTATCGCGGTAAGCTATTTCTGTTTGCAGCCACGTGCTTGGATATAGCACTTCCCCATAATGAAGTTACACCTGAAGACGCAAATATCACCGAGGTTCTTTAAGTCAGTTTTGTTTCAGTCAAACACGCCGGTGGTTTTCGGAAAATCGCAATGGGCGTTCTCAATTTTAAATAGTAACTTTCACCAAAGAAAGGGCCCGACTCTCTGCTCCCTCTTCGTGGACTACTAAATCAACTTGCCTCACCAGCAGCTGATAATTACTAAAACTTGCATCGTGAGGCAAAACTGAACGGGCGCAAGCACAAGGAAACAACAAGGCAGCGGTCGTTGACAAAGTGACAACCGCTGCCGTGTGACGAAGAGCACACTATGAGTGACGACCACTGCATTTCGGAAGTGACGAAGGGCACACTATGTGTTGACGTTTCACAAAGATTAGCGTCTATTTGAAAACTAGTTCCGAGACCTGGCGTAGCTCTGGGGTAAAATTCTTCATTGCCACGCAGAATGCTTGGGTTCGATTCCAGCTGGAACCTTGACGTTTACAGTCGAACACGGATATATCGAACTTGAAGGGTATCGCAAATTAGTTTGATATAAGAAAAATTCGATATAAAAAAATACAAGCCCTGAGAGCTTACCTGTAGCCAACCATCACCTACGATAGGCCCATTCAAGAATGACATTCAAAAATGACATTCAAGAAATTGGTGCACGGAAAGCGAAGTCATGAGTCATCAAAGTTAAAAAGTTGAGCAGACGACGACGAGAAACGCTTTGTTTCGCATTTTACTCTCCTGCTGACATCAAAGACCTCTCCCAATCGCAGTGCACGTCTCATAAAGACATTTCAGAAATGTCACCTTGTGGTGGCTTTCACACAACACATCGCTTCCGCTCTTTTTGACGGCGTTGTTAGCATGATTAGTACGAACGACACGTGTTGGGTAGGAGACGCTCTCACGGTCACACTGTGTAAGATGTACTCATACGCTTTGGGCGGGTTTACTTCTCGGCTTGCATGCAAGACACCTTCTACGACAACGCCGGCGCACACCGCCTGACGCATTTTTGGCTCGCTGAAGACGCGGCATGCGTTTTCACTCTTAGTTGCCGGTGTACCGTAGCCTCGTTCATAGGCTTAGTGTTGCGTTTGTTTTTCTGAAAGTACATCAATTCGAAATAGGAACGA